CAGCTTGTATAAAGAAGCACAAAAACTTCTGATGGCAGATGTTGAAAGGACAAATCCAATAGGTAATTGTCCCACGTTCTCTGTCTTTCCCAGTTTTGCTAGAGTTCCATTCAGTTCCCTAGCTTTGATGTGGTGGCAGTTCTGTAGAGATCTGATGCACGAAGAGCTATGTGCAGTGCTCTTAGTTGTGCATCATTCTAAACCAGTGTTTCCCAACCTTGGGAACTTCACCTCCCAGAATTCCCCAGCCAGTGGGGCAGCAGGGGTGGACTTCACCTCCCAGAATTCCACAGCCAGTGGGGCAGCAGGGGTGGACTTCACCTCCAGAAGTCCACCCATCTTGAAGTTGCCAAGGTTGAGAAACACTGGTCTAAGCCATTTAATGGACAGATGGCATCGGATCCAGGGTAATGGAGTGACGTAGCATTGTTTAACCTCTTGTGCTGCTGTAATCACGAGGAAGATGAAGACCCAGATGGGGCTTTGAAGAAATTCTAAATGAATGCCAGAATTATTAAGCGTACATGATTGTTGAAATAGTTTAGTTCCTTCATATTTTGTATTAATGCACACTGGGAAAGCACTGCAGAGGAAGACCTTTGGCCTACTTGTAAGTACAATGCATGTCTTTTTGTGCACCATAGCAGAAGAATCTTGAGCCCCCATTTCACATTGAGATCCCTTAATGTTGAATTTAGGACCATGGCTACTCTACAGAAGTCTTCTCCAGGTCATTGAGAAGCAAGACTTGAGTGCGATTGTGCTTTTCCATTCACTCTCCAGCCATGGCTATTGAGTGCCAACCTGCCCCTGGCACTTCTGTGACTAGAAGCCATCGATGACTTCCTCCTCCTCTGTTTATTCCTCTAACCCACTTTCGAAGCTGTCCTATTTGGTAGGTAACCATCACTGTATCCTCTGGTTACACATTATTGAGGGTTGTGTGATGAAATCTGTCCTGATTCTCTTCTGATTCAGCTTCTGTCAATGACCACCGTTTTCCTTCTTTGCTTTCTACCTGCTTCTTCTTCAGCCTTCAACCTCATTCCTTACTACTCCATTTTCCGAGCTAAGGAATCCAGATGTTGCAGCATTTTGTCACAGGAGATCCTTGGTTTTGATGCTCTTCTTTGTATCTTTTCCCTCCAACGATACCATCATTGAGGGCCAATATGTAGATGCAGACCCACCCCAGGCTTGTCTAAAGGTGTTGTGGTGCTTGTTGAAGTGTTATTTATGGTTCCTTACAATGAATTATATTTGGTAATTGAACATCGAATTCTCTATCTTGGGCATATCTCTTTGGTTAAGCATCCTACAATAATTTGGTATTGCCAGAAAGCCGATCACCTTGTGTGTTGCTAATGTGGGAATATAAAGAGACAAGTGAATGGAAGGAACCAAGAATGGAAAGAAAGCTGGGTATTCATTCCACTTAGAGAAGGTGGCTGGGTAATTTGGAATCTCAAAAGCTGAGGAAATATTGGGATGAGAATTTCAGATGCTTTCCTACTTCAAAGAACCAAGTCTTTATAAAATGGAGAAGGACTTTACTCATTATGTGGAGCAAAAAAGTATGCTACAGCCACTGTTAATGCCATGTTACACAGCAGGAACATGGGAATGTGGGTTACCCAGTTTGTGGCAGCAACATCAAAGAAAACATTCAAACTCTGCATGAATCACTGTATGGTTGGATTTGCCCAACATGGGTTAAAGACACTTGGTTGGTTTCTGTTCTGCGTATTGCAGGAACTGAGTCTTAGCAGGCTGTGTGAATTAGACCGTTGCATTAAGCTGTAACAGAGTTCATTGTTTGGCCTGGACTGGTGTTTCGCTGATCTGAACTTAGGGCTTAGCATGTAGATGAATCCAGTCTATACATCTCTGTGGCTATTGCTCTTGTTTTCCCTTTCCTTTCTCAGATATTGCTTTTAAGGTTTTCTGTGATTTCTGCTCAGATATTTATTTGTGCAAACAAGTATCTACCCAAATATTTGTATGAGCTTTGACTCTGGTGAATTTCTGCAGAAACGATTACTAGAGACCATCCACTTATTACTCACCTTTTCATACCCTCCATTTTGTTATCTGACACATAAATGGTGCTTAACACAAAGACCATCCCACCCAGGAGATGGAACAATTGTTCCAAATTGTTACTCATTACAAAGCTGTATTCTGATACGGCTGGAAAGGAAGATCTGCACATTTCTAAAAGGAGGAAGATGGTTTGTTGATGGTATAAGAACACTTAGGTGGATCTGTGCAAAAAAGGAAGGTCTTCTGAACTATGGTGTCCTCTTCTTAGGCCTACTTAGAAGGGCAGAACCAAGCCTTCTCCACTACTTCTGACCAAATGGTTAATTATCCATTTTTCCATTGCAGCCTGGCTTCATCAGAAGCCCACTAGATTGTAATTGCAATCGGCAATGTTTATTTGCACATTCAATTCTTCTTCATAAAGCCTAGCAAGATTGCCCATTGTCCAGTGCTGAATGTCAAGGAAAGTGTTCCAGATCTTGTCAGAAATAACTGTGCCAATTTTGTGAAGGGTAACTGTCCTGGCAGTTTATCACTGTATTCCAGACTGTAGCAGAACCATTACAAAGACAGCAGCTGCTCTTTTGAAGGAGGGGGTTGAGGGAGAAATGTCCATGGGATCACTGCAGATACCAAGCCAGACCTGTTTTTCATGCAACTGCCGGAACAAAGAGTGACCGCCTTGGAGTACCAGCTTCCCCCAACAGGGTGTGCTCCAGATGTGGTAGATTTCAATTCTACTCACATCTGAATAAATGAGGGGAAGCAATCAAGACAATATGGACTCCGTATTTTACAAAATTGCCTACTTTTTGCATTGTCACTGACCCCAGATGGATTTGGAACTTAACCGGAAGTTATTTGGCAGAGTTTCAGCTTTGGCATTTATCAGGTCTGGGAGAACTGGCTATGATTGCCCCTTTCCCAGGCCACCTTATAGGGTCATTTAAAACCCCTTGTTCTCAGTGGCAGAATTTAAGAGAGCTGGGTGTAGCAGCAAACCACAAGACTGTTGGGGAGAAGTGCTGCCATCTGGGATCTCAATGTCATCACCTTGGAACTCGCTCTGCAAGACAGGAATATTAAGAACCACTTTGCAGGCAGCTCCCACTTTAAGGGATATGATGGTGGAATTCCTGTATTGGGAGAGGGGGTGACTGACTGCCCTACAAGGAAAAGAAGGGGCAAGCTGAGGTTATCCCCTGGCTGATAGTCAAAGCAACTTCTGTTCACTCCGAAAACACATACAATCCTGTGGAGTCCTTGGGGTTCTCTGAGCTTGGTTCTTTTCTTGCAAATGTTTCATTACCCGGCTAGGTAACATCTTCAGTGCTAGAAAGGGATGGGGTTTGCTCTCTATTTATATACTGTGGCCTGCCTTGCCAGTGCTGGTGGGGGTAGGGGATTTGTTTTGGTAGTTCCTTGATGAGCATATGTTCACTGCTTGATTGTGTGCCTGGTGGTAACCTTTGCTTATCTGGGTGATGATTGCT